AAAATACTTGAGGGTCAGAGATTCTTCTTCCATTGAGAGTGGGCCAGTGGCTCTTATTAAAATGCCGGTACCGTTCTAATTCTTTATTGAGGTTTTCAATCTCTCGGCCTAAATCTCTGTTCCTGTTTTCTTGTTGATTTAGTTTCTTTTGCAGAACTGAGTGATCTCCCTGGAGGTGGCATATTAGGTCCTCTGTTGCCATGTACTCATGAATTTTCTCTTTTAATGTATCCACTTCTCTTGAGAGATGCCCAGACTTAGCTTCTTCTTCTTGAAGCCTTTTAAAAAGCCATTGTTCATGGCTGGACTCTGTCTTTTCTGCTAACTTGTACTTAGCAAGTTCCATTTTAACATGTTCTAGCTCTTCAGATAAAAATTGAGCTTTGTCTCGTTCATCAGCATACCTTCGTTCTAGAGTCTCATACTCATCTTCTGTTTTCATGAGGTCATCCTCAATGGCTTTCATATCCTTTAGTTTCAGTTTCAGTCTTTCCACTTCTTGAGAGAGCTCTTTAATCTTATTGTTTTCTTGGTGTAAGGCCGTTGTGGATTTACCAGAGTCTTGATTTAATTTATTTTTAAGAAAATCTTTCTCGATTGCTTCCAATGATTGGAGCCTAGTTTTCAACATACTAACTTTTGACAGGAGATCATTTCCTTTCTCCTCTTCTGTTTTCAATTTATTTTTAAGATCATCTCTTTCCTTGGTTACACTGTACATCTTTTCTTCCACATCAGTTTTGGACTTGAGTGCCCTTTTAGTTTCTTCAATTAACGTCTCAGTAACTGTTGTTACTTTATTTTGCTCCACCTGAAGCTGAGAAGAAGCAGCTTGTAACTTATCTTCAGTTTGCTTTAACTTTTCATTCATTGTTTTTCGTTCATCTACAAGCATCACAGTTAATGTTTTTAATTTAGTTAAATCCTCCTTTAGGGTGAATTCTGTCTGTTCTAGCCTACTTTCAATGGTTTCTAACTCTTTGATCCTCACTTTTAAACTCTCTAGTTCTTGAGACAACTGTTTTGTAATCATTTTTTCTTTTTCTAAATTGCATTTCAAAGAGTAACATTCTTGTTTGCTTTTGTTGAAAGCATCTTCTAATTTTTCCAGAGCCATAATCCTTTTATTAAGTTTTTCAACTTCCAATTTAAAGTCTTTACTCTGTGTGGTTTCCTTTTCAAGCCTCTTATTGAGATCTCTACACTGTTCCTCCATTTTTATGAGCTCTTCGTCTTTCCCTTCCATATCTAACACACGCTTCCTAAGCTCCTCCACCTCAGCCAGGATACCAATATTTCCATATTCTCCTTTGTTGATTTTTTCTTTTATATCTTGGAGCTCCTCTTCTGCTTTTCGTAAGGATCTGTTTGTTTCTTCTAACTCATCAATTTGCCGGCTGAGTGCTGCCAGTTTTTGTCGGAGCTGGCAATTTTGACTGTCCTCGTTGGTGAGCTTTGCCATAATTTCGTCTTGGTTCTGATGAAACTTAGTGGTCTGGGTTTGCAGTTCTTTCTCTAGTCTGGATGCTTTCTGCTCTTCTTCCTGAATTCTGGCTTCAGCAAGAGCCAATTTAGCATGTGTTTCCTTTGCACTTGTGGTCAGGTCCTGGATTTTCTGTCTTTGAAGGGCTAGCTGTGCTGTCAGCCTTTGTTGTTCATCCACCACCATCAAAGCAAAAGACTTCAGCTTGGTCAGCTCTTCTTTCAGGGCTGTGACTCTCTTCTCCTTTTCTTGCTCCTTTTTCTCCTGGGACTCAGTTTCTTGATCAGTCAACTTCTTTAATCTGAAAAATACGAGTGCATTTTGTTTTGTGATTGGTGCTTTAGTAACTCATTGGCTGTAAAAAAAATAATTAAACAATTGGAAAGGTTGTATCAGTTCATTCAGAATATTGAAAGAAGTTCCTAAATTTGATGAGGGAGGAGAATCTTGATAGATAACTTGCTTTTTTATTTGACTACCATTGGTGAGTAACAGTGCACTTCTTGAGAAGCCTTAGTGGAAGAGGAAAGGCAAGAATATTTGTTTTAAATTGCTTGTGTAACATAATCAGTGGGCATTCTAGTCTGAAGGCTATGAAAATAGGTGTAAGCTTGAGAATCAGTTAGACCTGGTTTGAGGACTTGAAGACTGGACCCACTCTTACCAGCTAACTAACCTGGGCAGTTACTTAATATTTCTGAGCCTCAGTGTCCTCACATGCGAAATGGGAGCAATCATTATATTTACCTCTGGTTCTTTCTGTAAAAAGTAAATGAGGTAATTCATCTAAAATAATTACAGTTCTGGTACACGGGAAAACATCTGATGTGTTGTTGCTTGTTCTTTTTAAAATTATGTTATGATTATTATATTAAATGCTTGCTTAAACCATTCAAATATTTGGTATATTAACATTTGGTGTTCAACTCCCTGATTTTTACCTGAGAAAAAATTTTATTCACATTGGGAGTTATGTACTTCACTGCACCCCCGGTGAAAACTTGCTTTATACTAGCATGACATTGTCCTGGAAACCACTTCAAATATATCTTTAGCTAGTGAATGACAGTTAAATGAATGGAACTGAGAGACATCTGGACTGGGTCTGGAGTTTTCATAACATGAGAAGAGCAAGGAATTTGGTAGGAAGGGGCTTATTGATGAGAATCCAATGCTAGAAATAGTGGAGGAGAGGTATTATCAAGAACATAGTGATTCCTTCATAATTGATGACTACTATAACATGTGATTTTTTCCTTTATATTTTAAATTTGTTTGAATAACAGGAGGGCATTTTAAATGCAGAATAAACTCTTCCACACACTTTGTTAACTCAGTAGTGAGACTAGTTTTAAACTTGTGGCACTCTTAATTACACTGGGAATGGGCTGATTATAGACTATGTAATTACAGCTGTGCAATATTGTTATACAAAAGCTAAAATAGAATGGAATCCCTGAAGAACTTAACGAAAGGTTTTGTCATGAGTAAAAATATAAATACTTGGTTTCTAATCAAGCCTAAAGAGTTCATAGTATGTTAACATCTTTTCTATTAGGAATGAGTTAATTATGCAATGCATGCCTTTCATCCTTGTCACAGAACTTTCTTTTTGAAGGCTAAGGATTTGAAAGGACATTTTAAAAGGAAACCAATTTAGGGCCATTTTCTTAGAAATAATCCTTTTTTTGAGATTCTAATTGGCTGTGTTCTATAATTACCCCACAGAGGAAGAACATGTTTAAAATAATTGTATAATTTTATAATGTAAGAATTCTCAAACTTGTAGGGAGATCCATTTTTAGTTTTTCCTGTTTGGAGAACTTGACAAGAGGCTGGCCCAAGGGCTAGTGGCCTGTGAAATGCATAAGGGACTAAGCAGGATGCTGGGGCAGGGCTGGTGATGATTTCACCTAGATCCTGGTAAAAGGCTTGTCTGTGGCTTCTGGCTGATCCTCATTCTCTAATTGAGACACCTAGAAACCTAAGAGAAATGTGACACTTCCTTCCTGGATGGCTTTGAGACTTTGCAACTCAATGGTGGAGTCTAAGGGTTTATAAATGCTTTGCTGATAAAACAGTTACAGAAATTTTGGCAAAGTGCTTCTTCCTACTTTAGCATTCAAAATGGAACCTTTAATGGTCTTGATGATGCACTGAGCATAACTGTAGTGAAATATTTTCCCTTTGATATACCAGTTCTTATATTTTTATTAAAGAACACTTTCACAAAAACTCTTAAGGGTTTCTTTCCAACTTATTAAATAATAGTATGTGCTGTTTCATTTTTATGAGATAGAGATGGATTTTCTTAGGATATTAGGGAGGGAGGATTGTTTTTGCAGTACAGTGAAAAGAGTGTTAAATGGAATGGTGGTTACCCATGTTTCCCCAAAAGTAAGACCTACCTGGGAAACAAGTTGTATCATGATTTTACAAGAGACACCCCCTGAAAATCATGCTAGAACCTGTTTTTTGTGTAGGGCTTATTTTTGGGGAAACACAGTAATGAATCTTGATAACGCAATAACTGTTAAAGATTTTGAAAAAGTTTCAGTTGTTTTCACTGTTTGTGTTCTTGGCAGTAAGCATGATGCATCTTTTTCAGCAAATGTGAGGCATCTCTCTCTTTTTATGATTTTTATAAACTGGCTAGTATCCTTATCTGCTTCCCAAGCTCCATTTTACAAAGAAGGCACATAAAATTGAGTACTTTTGCTCCAACTGTTTCCTCCCTACTTTTTTCCCAATAACTTACTTCCCTGTGCCACTCAGATAAGCACACCATGGCACAGTCAACAACCTAATTTGCTAAAATCTGTCAAGACAGGAAATTAAGTTTATATATAAGAAAATGTATACCCTTAGCATCAACTCTGGTGTTCTGGACCAGAAACCAGTGAGAACCAGTGATCTGTCCGTGTGTGTGTGTGTGTGTGTGTGTGTGTGTACATGTGAACATACCACTCTATCTTTAGAAGTAGACTCCATTGTCCTCTCTTACTTTGCTTTTATTTAAGCAAGTGTACCAAAAAGTTTCTGAGTTAATGTACACTTGGTGATGGTTTCTTCCTTGCTAAAGACCTGTTCTTTACCATTGCTTCTTACAGTTTAATTTGCATTTGAATCACCAGGGAATCTCAGTGAGGGGTCCCTGTTAACAGTTTATAAACAAGCCCCCAATGGGTCTGCTGGCCCTGGGACTTACTATGGATAGCAAGACTTTACATGTCAGCTATTTCCTGGAAATAGGATTCTCAGGCTCAGAAGAGTCAGGAAGGAACAAGGCCGGTGCTGTTCTCCTACATCACATTGCCTCTCCAACCAAAAACAGAAGTTTCTTTATCAAGGAATATTAGGAGAACGCAGAAACTCAACCTAAAGAAAAATTCTCATTTATCATCACTTTGGATTCTTTTTAGTTTGTATTTTTTAGAACAGTGCTTTTCAAATATTGCCTTTTTTTCTACTGAAAGAATTGAGAATTTTTTGAAACCAAGAAACCTCTTCATATATTTTAAGCTACCATCTAGATTTTTTTTTAATTCAAGGTTTAAATATTTGCAAAGGACACATATATGTGTGAATATATTCATATATATTTTTTGGTACTGGGGATTTAACTAGTCAAAAGATATTTTAATGTCTGCCATATTATATAAAAGTGTTTATTAACAAATCAGATCAGTCATTCTTTCAAGTGAAGTCTGGCTTCATTTTTTAACTTAGGTAAATGTGTAAATACACTTGTAGTCTCACTTCTAAGAGATGAGGCTTAGGAACTTATTTGTCCTGAGTTGTCTCCCCATTAAGATAAGGCAACACTCCACCTAGGGGTTGGTTATGAAGCTCTGCTCTGCTGCCCTGGAACTATGCTTTTTGTTTGTTTTTTGGTACCAGGCATCGAACTCAAGAACTTGTGCTTGCCAGGCAGGCACAGTGCCACTGAGCTACATTCCTGGCTCTCCCCTGGGACTCAGAAGAATCTAGTTGTCTAAAGAAAAGGTGTTTCTGTCTGATGCCTCAGAGGGGTTCCAACCCAGGAAGGTGCACTTGGTAAGTTTGGTATAGAATACAAACACTTTTCTGGGAGATCAGTGTTGGAAAGTGGTGTGTGTGTGTGTGTGTGTGTAATGTGTAATACAGATGTGACCAAGCAAAGTATCGTTGTACCTTCAGGGATAGATGTACCTCAGTTTGAAGACTACTGTCTTGGAGTACTCATATTCATGTTTAAGTACTAACACTACAGGTTTACAAGAATAGTCACTGAATCCTGTCCAATAAAAACAGGCTGTTAGGGCCAGGGATTTAGCTCAGTGGTGTCACACCTGCCTGGCAAGCTCAAGGTCCTGAGTTTGATTCCTGGTACTGGAAAAAAAAAAAAAAACAGGTTGTGAAAGATAGTTTTATGGACAGAAATGTGAGGCAATTAAATCCCAGCTGGCTTAACACAATGTCTTATTACAGCTTTTCTTTTCAGTTTCTATTATGGGTTAGAATTATTATAACTTACTGTGGTTTATCACTGTTATTATGTGGAATACCAGTTACTTGGGTTTTTTTCCCCTCCAAAATATCACATCTGTCATCTTGAGTCTTCTTTGGTACCAACCATAATGCTGGCTCTTCAATACAAATTATATATTCAGAAGATCTTTTCAGATTTTATTTACACACATGTATGTTTACACATATGCCTATATTTTACTGAGTGTTAGTAATATCATATAATACACAGATAAAGCAGATGCTGTGTCCAATTGCTATAATGCCAGTGATACCCAGAAGAATTTATATTACAGTTCTCACTACTTTTGATTTTGTCTTGTTTAGGTACACAATAATTAACACTACTAAAATACAAACATGATGAGTATCTTAGTGATTTGTGTTTTTCATAGTGTCTACCACAAAGTCCTTTGGAGGAAACTAAATGAGGGGTATATATGCGTGTGTTTAATGAATGAAAAAAATGTACAAATATACCCTCCTGTGGAAAACACTACAGCATTGTCCTAAGCAATTTTATTCATTTTTTTAAAAAGAGAATTCTCTAATATTTACCATGGGGTTGTTTTAGACATTTAAGAGAAAATATAAATGAGTTTGTCAGTGTTCTTTGCATTGTCTCTACTTCCTAGACTGTTGGAACAGCTCTTCTTTTCTTCAGACCCCTGCCTTCAAACTGTATTTGTCTGCTTAAGAAAAACAGGGGCCGGGGATTTAGCTCAGTGGTTTTGGCGCCTGCCACCACAAGTGCAAGGTTCCGAGTTCGATCTCTGGTACCAAAAAAGAAAAAGAAAAACAGGGACAGTTGGTAAATGTTTATATCCTAGCTCACTACTCTCTTTTGGTTATTTCAACTCTGAAAACAAAGGAGCGTGCTTCTTTTATTTTTTCCTCGCAGACCAGAGCTCTGCTGGATAAATACGAATATGTTTATTACCCAAGTAATAGGACATCAATTGCAAATGAAGTTGAAAAGGAAATAATTCATCTATAATGTGACTACTGTGATCCATTTTCCATGTTTCAACTTTTACAGATTCTTTTCTAGTTTTCAGGAAGATGGCCCACATAAATAAGCTTAGGATATTACCAGCTAACAGAACCAATTCCATTAATGACAATGTATTGTTTCTATTGTATTGTTTCTGATTTCTGCAGAATTCAGTAGTGAACAGCCAGCTTAGTTTCTCGCCTATCATGTTAAAGAGACAAGTACTCCACTGTATTCATGCTGGGTTTCTTGAATTTAAAGTTTTGATGTTATGAGTATGGCAAGATTTTGTTCATTTAATTAACAAAACAACAGAGGTTATACTGAGGTGAAAAAGGAGGGGAGGATTCTGCTCTCAAAGAGTTTTTAGGCTCTTAGTAAAGAATGAACAGAGAGTTTCAGCACAATTCAATAAAGGATCCAGAAGAGCAGTTCTTAACCATTTAGGTCTCATGACCCTTATGCACTCTTAAAAATTCTGAAGACCCTAAATGCTTTTGAGTGTGTGGGTTATATCTATCAGTACTATATTAAAATTTAAGCTAGTATTTTTAATAATTCATGTATTCATTAAAAATAATAAACCCACTATATTTTAACATAAAAACATTTTTATAGAAAATAACTTTGAAACACAAAATTTAGTGAGAAGAATTTCATTGTTTTACATTTCTGTAAAGGCTGTCTAGCTTAATTGAAAACAGCTGGGACTTCAGATCAGTTCCAAACATTCCATTAACTGTCATAGCAATGATGTCATCACATGTCAGGTAGCCTCTGGAAAACTACTTGTACACTTCTGAAAGAATGAGTGTGTTATTATGAAGATAGCTATGACCTGATCTTTTGAAGGGGGCCACACTTTGAGAACCATTGCTCTGGAGGATAGACAGCAACAAAGTGGCAAATGTTTCTTTCTCTGGAAAATCCTCTGGTTTGGGCTGTCACTCTGTGCTTTTTCAGACTGTCACTTTGCTTCATCCTGATGAAGTCCCCAGATTCACAAGCTTAGTCACTGCTTTAATATTGCCATCATTAATAAATCCATTTGTTTTCTCCCTACCATAGGTAGATGGAAGTTTCTGTTTTAAAATTTCCTCTGTCCCAGTTAGAACTACTTCCATAATTTTAATGTGGAAACAGTTAAGTAAGTGTTTGAAATTGCAATTTGAAGAGCATGGAAACCACTGTGTTGCCTAGGTTTTAAAATGGGTTCATCAATAGTGCAGTTTAGCTGAGATTTATTTCATTTCAGGTCTTCATAAGACAAAGTGAGTTCCTACTATGTGCAAGGCACTGTGCCTATTTGTCACTTTACCTTTTTTCTTTCAAAACCTGTCTGTATACTTCCACATAACAATCTGATCATAACTTAATCTCCCATTAATTACCAAATAGTATGATGGTATCAATATGATGGTATCAAAATCTGTTTGCCTTTAAAATGTGATATAATGCAATTCTCATCTTAGTCCTATTATATATAACTTCACTTTGATGAACTTCAATTCTTGTATTTTCTCTCATTATTCCAGTTAGTTCCCAGATTTAACATGTTGATTACTAAGAAGAAAACTACATATGTTACACTGCTTCATTTATTTTTTACATCTGCTCTTATGGCATATACTCTGATAGTCTGGTTATGATTATATTCCACTTTGTCTTTTGGTAATCGTCATTTAACATGTATTTTTAATTGGTGCTTATAGTTAAATAACTGGAGTTCTGATAGTTTACAGTGATTACGTGGAATTTATTAGAAAACTTCCTTATTTTAGATATGTTCTTATTAATCAGGCTTATGTTTCCTTGCTGTGTTCCTTGCTTTTTCAATGGGGCTTTTCACTGTTTAGTCTAATTTTTAGGAGCATTCATAAAAATAGATATAACTAGTCTTTTTTATTCTATATATGCAGCTTCCCTTTATTTATCTCACAAATCAAAGGTTTTGTTTCTTTTTTTTAAAGTTATAGCTACAGCATACCATAGCCATAATGTAATGTTTGATTCATTTGACTTGGTCACCAAGATCTACAAGAACAGTAACACTTTTTTTTAGCATCTGCTAGCCAAGTATGAGCATACATCTGTGTCTGCTTTATGTCCTTGTTACTGAAGATCCTGTCGTTATCATTGAGATCATTTAGAGACACCATAAATAGGTCCAGATTCAGCAAGCTGAGTTACTGTTTTCCTTCCTTGTGAAAAAAAGAATTAGGGCATGAAGTGATGGAAAAAGGTTTTGGCTTGGTGTCAGAGCAATATATGGTAAAAATGGTTCAAGACTCTTCATCATTTGAACAATCTTCTTTGGCTCCACAGAGGTGAGGGGAAGTAAAATAATAAGGGTACAAATGGTGAAATGATGTATTAATTATAAGGGGCTTGGAGTTTTTAGCAATAAACAGGATTCTGAGAAGGACTTATGAATTCCTCAAATTGAGTATAAAAGAACTGGGGCAAATCTTGCTCTCTTAAGAAGAAAAATCAAAGTAACTGGCTGAGACACAGGGTTTCCTGCAAAGAAAAACTGCTGATAGGTGAAGTTACAGATGAAAAAGGCCAGTCTGAGAGCCCACAGGCACAGAGCCTGGGGAGTCAGGCAGCTATGAGAATATCTTCATCTGAAGACGTAAGTACCTGTGAAATCTGGACTAGGAAAGATACACACCACATCCTAATCAAAGGCCAGGTTAAACTTAAAAAGGCGTTTGGGCTGGGCCTGGGAGAGGAAATGGGAGCTAACAGGGGAATGACAATAATCTGTACTCAGATAATTACTTAGAGCCTGAATTACATGATTTCTACTTCTTCTGTGCAGTATTGGTACGTACAGCTTACCAGTCAAACCTTTAGATGATGAATGTTCTCTGAATACCACTAATGTGGGCTGGGGATGTAGCTCAGTGGCTGTTTGCCTAGCATATGTAAGGCCCTCAGTTTGATCTCCAGAACCACACACACACACGCACACAGTAAAAAAATTAAAATACCACAAATGTGCCTCCCATATCCTCCACTGAAGTTTTTCACATTAAAAATATCTATTTAGATTTTTCTTTTTGCCACTCTGCTGAATTTTTTGCCATATATTATAGGTATCAAGAGGAACCTTTTAAAAACTAATTACTGAGCTGAGTGTGGTGGCACACACCTGTAATCCCACCACTGAGGGATGCTGAGGCAGGAGAATCACAAGTTCAAGTCCCATCTGGGAAACTTAAGAGACCTAAAAGTAAAAAGGAATGGGGCTATAACTTAGTGGTAGGGCGCACCTGGGTCTTATCTCTAGTACCACAAAATACATACATAACATACATACCAGTTACTTTATGAACTGGGGATATAGCTCAGTATTAGAACATTGCCTAGTATCTTTGAGGCCCAAGGTTTGATCCCAGCACCAGAGAAATAACAACATTTACTATGAATGCACTACTGCACTAAATAGAGACTATTCACTTTTCTTTGGGGGTTTTCTTTCTCCACCTCACATCTCTCTGGGGTTCTTAATTACTTGGAAAAGATTCCTGAGGTAACACATTTTTCTTTACCAGACTTTACATTCTGATTGCTATTACACCAATAAATACATGAGCCTATCTTTCAACACATTGAGACTTTAGGTCCTTGTCAGACTAAGTTTCAGGGTTATATCTCCGTGGTCCTACCACAGCCATGAAGTTTTCCCAGGGTTGCCCTGTCCCTCTGGGGCAGTGATGGCAAACTTGTAGAGAGTGAATGCCCAATCTGCAACCCAAAACACAGTTTATCACAAAATGCCAACACTACCCCATGTATGCTATTATCTGATGCTTGGTTTCTGGGGTGATGCTGGGGCAACTTGGCTTGTGTGCCAACTCAGAGGGTTCTCAGGTCTCACTGTGGCACGTGCCATAGGTTCACCACCACTGCTCCAGGGAAAAACAGTCAAAAAGCCACTCAGTGTGTTGTGGCTTGGATTATTACAAATATATGTGCATTCTTATATTCCTGATAGTAGCCACTTTTAAGTGTGAGGGTAACAGTGCAATAGGCCTTCTACTCAACACTTTCATTGCCTATCATTTTGTCCATTCCTTCCTGCTCTGTGTGATCTACGTTCTTTTCTATCTTGCACATTTGCTTTCTCTCTGATGGGGCCAATAGATGGCAGTAAATAGTACAACTGGCTGAATGCGAAAGGGCAGGTGGGATCACTGACAGGCGTGCACCCTTGCCAGCATGGAATCACCAATGGGAAAAAGGCAGTGGAATACCACACAAGGCAGGATAGTCCAGCCTAGATTCAGATCCTAAAGTCTGATTCTGAGAACTGAATCCTGCCTTCCCCATTTGTATCTAGTGTGGCTTGAGTAAGCAATTTAACCTTTCAAGTCTCATTTTCTTCACCTATAGAATGGGAATAATAGTAGAGACTCTCATAAGAGTTGACCTGAAGATTAAGGAAAAAATATGCAAAAGCCCTTAATATACTGCCATTGTAAGTAGGATGGGGAGTACTAAGAGTAGGTTTTATTTATTTAATTTATTCTTTTGGAGGGGATACTGGGGATTGAACCCAAGGCCTTTACACTTAGCTATATCCCCAACCCTTTTTAAATTTTTTTTATTTTGAAACAGGTGTCACTAAGTTACTCAATTGTTCAAGCTGGCCTCAAAACTTTGGATCCTCTTGCTTAGCCTCTGAGAGTGCTGGGATTATAGGCATGTACTACTGTGCCGATTTCTCTCCCCCCCCCTCTCTGTCCCTATCTGTCTGTCTCCCTCTCTCTCCCTCTGGTGCTGGGGATTGAACCCCAGCCTCAGGCATGATCATGTACCCTCCCAGTAATTATACCCCCAAGAAGGAAGTGGATTTTAAATGTTCTGGCAGCCAAAACATGGTTAGTGTGTGAGATAATGGGTATGTTAATTAGCTTGATTTTGCCATTTCACAATGTATTACAGATAACAAACCATCATGTTGTACCCTAGCCAGATGGCTCATGCCTGTAATCCAAGCACTCTGGATCTCAAATTTAAGCCCAGCCAGTGTAATTTAATGATTTAGCAAGAACCTGCCTCAGAATAAAAAATGCAAAAAGGCCTGGGGGTATAGCTCAGTGCCAAGGCCCTGGGTTCAATCCCCACTACCACACACACACACACACACAAACACACACACCCTGTTGTAGACAAGTTTTTCTTAAAATTAAAAACCAAATACAAATAATTTCAAGATAAATAAAAATGCTGTGTGGCAATAGTGCTGGGAGGAAGAAAAGGAGGAGGAGGAAGTGGTGGCAACACAGTAGAGCAGCTGAGCCACAGACTCAGTAGGGGCCACCTTCAGGAGAAATAGTAGGAATTCACACTGGAATAAAAGTTAGGACTACCCAGTCTGTTTACTGTGGCCTACCTGCAGGCTTTTCAGCTATCCTCATCCTTAGCCATAGTGATTGTCATTTTAAGTTAGTGTTGGATCTCAGCCTTAGCACTACTGACATTTGGGTTGAATAAACCTTTATTTTAGGTTGTCCTATGTATTTATTATAGGATGTTTTGAAGTATCCATGACCTTTAGCTACTAAATTTCAGAAGTAACCCTGTACCCCTAATTCATTTGTGATGACCAGAACATGTCTCTAGACATTTCACATTCTCCCAGGGGTGTGGGGATTTCTGCCTGGTTGAGAATCATCATTTTAGGACACAATTTTTGGGAAAATTTATTAGATCTCTTTGTGTTTGTTATCTTTGGCATTCATATTAACTTCCTGCTGCTGAAATGTGACCTGCCACTATTTCCCATTTCTCTTTTGTCCACAGATAACACTGTACAGCTCTTCTCTCTTTCTGGAAGAAAATGATGCTTTGAATGTGCAATATCCATTGAAATGCCAGCATATGTCAAAGTGGATGCTAACAGCTGACATTCTGAAAAGCCTCTCTGATGTTCTGCTTATTTTACCCTTGCTCTTAGTTCCTTCAGTGGGGTGGGGGTAGGGGGGGAGTGGACACAAGGTCTCACTATGCAGTCCAGGCTGATACTTTGTAATCCAGGCTGTCCTTTAACTCCCAAGATCTTCCTGCCTCAGCCTCCAGAGTATACACCATACCCAGCTTCCTTCCGTGGATGTGCTAATGTACTTCTCCTGGTTCAGATACTTATTTATAGATTTGTCTGCTTGGGGGATTCAATAGGCATGGTAGGTTAAATGGTTTGGAAGAAACCTGAAGGGAACAGGATTTTTTCTATATATGTATACTATTGCAGGATATAATGTCCTTAGTAAGAAAAAGAAATGTTGAAGATGTTAAATGTTTTTTGAGCTCTTCAGAAAAAAATACAAGCCAACAGGTCAAGAGATACCCAAACTGTCTGAGAAATAGGCAATGTAGGGTTTTCTTACTGTTTCATAATTAAGTTTGCAGTTTATCTTCAATACTTTTAATTCTTTAAGCAATATAAATTTCAGTCTTTGATTTTAGATTAGTCTTCCTAAATATATAATACACATTTTAAAACACATATACATTAGCACTATTATTAGCTTTTCTCCTACTTCATCCTTCATCTTCCCAACTGTAACCATTGACATTAGTTTCTCATACTTCTAGTTTCTCATGAGTAAACAAAGTTTCTCTCCTTTTACACAAAAAGTAGCTTACTTAACAGACACCATTCAGCATCATGCTTTTTGCAGTTAAACATTTCTAAGAGATTTTTTTCCATTAGGTCAGTATTCTTAAGTGGCAGAAAAGGGAATAGAAATCAAATTGTGAAATAAATCTTTGTAACTTCATGCCATAAAAATAAAAATGTGAGGGGCTGGGGATTTAACTCAGTGGCTCCAGCTCCTGCCTCAAAAGCACAAGGTCCTGAGTTCGATCCCCGGTAGCAAAAAAAAAAAAAAAATGTGTAGGATCTTTAAAAAATGGAATAATGTGTAAAAGTATGGGAGTCATACTTTTTGCTTGTTTTTAAATCTTTTATGATGATAAATTCAAATAAAGTTTTTACTTTTAGCAGCTCTTTAATTGTTGTATGTCTTCACAATGTGTGCAAACACCTGCATTTATTTTCTTAAGTGTGTAACTGAGGCCGACAGATTAAATGCCATGGTAGTCTTGGAACTGGGATGCAGGCTGCAATTCCCAATGTGAGATGAGGCTTTTATAGAGAAACAAGCATACTGAAGGTCTATCCTGTGCTACTTGATCTCAATCCTTATAACAACCTTATGGGGTAGGCAGTATTATGCCCACTTTATAGATGGGTAAGGAACTAAAAAATTTAAAATTTAGAGAGGTTATATTACTGAAATGGAAAAAAAAAAAGACCAGAATAAAAATATACTGACTGCAAAGCCTATGTTTTTTTACTTAACTAGGCCATATGCTAGAAAACCCAGAGTGTTGACCTCAGAAGAGTTTCCTTTATCCCATCCTGCCTCCTGCTCTTGCCTTGGCTTACTTTGCGCCAGCCATGCCAGCTTCTTTGCTGTTCTGTCAAATACAACAGACCTTGTGTGCTTTTGTCCTGGCTGTCTTCCCCAGGAGACACTGGACTCTCCCTCACCTCACGTAGTGCCATCTAGTATACCACTTTTTTTTACTTATTTGATTATTAGCTGTATTCCCTGCTAAAATATAAATTTTATGCAGTTAGGTATGTATAGGTATATGTGTATATTATTTAGCAATTGGCCAATGATTTGTCTATTATATTCAATGCTACATTCCAGCTTAAGAACAGGGCATGGTATTCAATAGGTGTTCGATAAATATTTGAACTAATGTTTTACTTCTGAAATACATATGATGTTAGAGAGTAAGGGTATAACTATAAGCAGTAGACACATAGTGTTCATCCCCTCATCCCCTCCATAGTCTGGAAATAACAGAATTGATTGGATAATTATTATATACCATGTACCATGTTAGTCTTACAGTCAGTCATAGGAGGCAGGTATTATTGTCTTCATTTTGTAATTATAAACTCATGGTCAGATAAGTTAAATAATTTGTCAGAAGTCCTGCTAGTAATTGGCAAACCCAGAATGCCAATATAGTTTATATTCCAAATCTTGTTTCTTACCATCAAGACATATATCCATCCACACTTCCTATCTCATCTTTCTCACTAGTGAACTTATATATTCTACAGAAAATCACTACCACTTGCACTACATTGCTTTGTGACCATATTTTCCTGTAGGTTCATGGCTACTTTGAGCCTTGATCATGAGACATTATTAACAAAGTCTCTTAATCATTGTAATAATATAGCAACTTCAGTCATTTGGCATATACTTATAATTATTTTTGGATGGTTTAAAAAATTGTGATTTTGCCAGTAATAACATCTCACATTCCCCAGAGGAGGTGAGTTTGTCATAGATACCATTTCCATAGGACATTTCAAGGAACTTAAAGTTCTTGGAAACTATTTTTAACAGGCAGACCTTTCTCAGTCAGACTTCAAGGACATAATACTATGTAACCTTAGAAATGTATGTGCATTATTGTATCTTACTATGAGTATTTATATGCATTTCTTGTACTGTTTAAAATCAATTTAGACTGAGATGTTCTTTTTGCATCTTAGATTGAGAAATCAAAAATGGATTCTGTAGAAAAACATTCTGAGGTAGCTGTTAAATTTTCTTTAATCTCCATTCTTTCCTTTTCTCATTCAAATGTCGCAAACAGGTATTTTGGAAGATATGAATGATTCCTTTCTCTCAACACTTACTAATGAGTTTTTAAAAAATTCTCTCTTAAAAAAAAAATTTACAGAGTGTATTCCTTTCCAGACCATATTCTGAGCCAAAAAGTGTATTTTTCTTAAAGCCCCTGGTTCTCATCTTTTTTTTAAGGCTTTCTTTTATTTGGCTTTTTATTTTTACATTAATAATTGGTGTTCTGTTAATCAGATTTATCATAAAAGCCCAAAGCAGGGACCAGTCATGTGCCAGAGTACATAAGTTCACTGGTTTTCACCTTATAGTCTGGCTCTCTGCACAGAGGCAGCAGCTAACATGGTATGCTTGGGAAACCAAACATTTCCAAACTTATTAGTGGGAAATTGAAACTTTAGAAATTTAGAACCCAAAACAACAGAGACTTATGTTTTACTGTGACTACTGAAGTCACACTGTTTACCATAGAAACAGGGTGGATAGGAAACCAAGAGTATAAAATAGGAAACATTTTGATCCCCAAGAGTGGATTTCCAGGTTGTCTTTTTTTTTTTAAGTCTAATAAGTAAAGAAGATACAAAGGAAATAGGAAATTTTAATACATTTAATAGTATTTAGAAGTGGTCTGATTTCCTGCTAGACAGACCATGAGCCAGTGAATATCCTCCCTCTACTTTTATCTGCTTTTTTTAGTTCTTAAGGTTGATTGGTTTATGTCTCTTCCATGATTTTTGGAGAGACAGAGTTTGGGCAATATGTGAAGTCTAATTATAGACAGGTGAAAAGGTTTTATTCTAGAATCGAAATATAAATGATTTTTCTTGTGGCATTTTGTATGTCCTTTTGTATCCAGTGTAAAAATTGAAATTATTTTGGTCATCCAAGCCTAAATTTTCCCTCGACCAACAGTCCAAAGTATTTGAGTTGTGTTTTCCTTACCTGCTCTGCTACTTCTGAAATCAGAAGACAGAACTGAACTTATAACCACAGAGTTTGATCCTGCTGCCTTTTCTCTAAGTCAAGTTCCCTTAAAATGAATGTGTTCTACAGAATATATTAAGCTTGTGTGAGGACAGTTCCCTCAAGATAATACAGTGAGCGGGGGATTTAACTCAGTGGTTTTGCCACCTGCAAGGTGCAAGGACCCGAGTTCAACCCCTGGTGCCAAAAAAAAAAAAAAAAAGATAACACAATGACTGGGCATGGTGGTGCAGACCTATAACCTTAGCTACTTGGGATATTGTATGCAACTTAGTGAGACCTTGTCTCAAAATGAAATTTTAAAAAGGATTGGAGATGTATATATTTGAATACCTACTGTAATATATATATTTTTTTTTTTTTTCTTTTTTCTTTTTTCTACCTTTTTGGTACCGGGGATCGAACTCAGGTCTTTGCGCTTGCATAGCAGGCGGTGAAACCACTGAGCTAAATCCCCGGCCCGATTTTTTTTTTTCTTTTTCTTTTTTACACTGGTCAGCAATAGGTCTGCCAGAGATAAGACTAATGACTTTTATTCCACTGCCTTTAGCCTTGGGTCTGCTAATAATTTTGCCCCTCAGCACAAGTTTCTCCTATTTTGTTATCATTATCTAAGAAAAGTTATTTATCACAAAATTAAAGAAAAGCCAATAGTGTACTTCATGTATGTTCTGTTTGAATACCTATCCATGTGTTTTAACTGTGTCTTACTTTGTGATTTTAATTTTAAGACAGACCAAATGTTTCATGTGTTCAGTAGCTGAAAAAAGTTTTGGGTTTTTTTTTGGTACTAGGGATCGAACTCAGGACCTTGTGCTTGCAAGGCAGGTGACGGAACCACTGAGCTAAATCCCCAGTGAAAAAAGTTTTAGAAAAAAGCACTGACTTTACCATACCTCTTTTTTTTTTTTTTTGGTACCTGGGATCGAACTCGGGTCCTTGTGCTTGGGGGGCAGGCCAGTAATCCCCGGCTCATTATCCCCCACTTATAAGGTTCACCCATCCTAACCAAAAACAAAGACAAAAGACAAACCTAATTCTTAATTTAAAATCCACTTTCCACTCTCAGAAAAGCTATGTATGCCAATAAGCAGGAAATATTGGACCAAAATCTACTACCAAGTTAGTTTGGCCTTGCCTTATCTGCCAGTTACCTCAGCTGCAACACAGACAAAGCAATACAATTTTATCTCTCATAATTTAGAAAGCTTCTGAGGATCCTCAAATCTCAGTTCAACAAAATAAAAACCTTCAGCAACCTTTAAAATTCTTTCTTCCCTTCTTTCTTATTTCGAGCTGTACACAAATTCACATGTCACGAGACTTTATGGCTCATCAACTCTCCATGGTTCATAACTATACTGAAAACCGTAATTAAAATTTCATGAGATTCAGATTCATTTATTTATGAAAAACATTTGTTGTAGTCTTTAAAAGCAAAGAAATGTTATTCTGATGGCTAAATAGTGGATTTAATAATCAGAGTCTAATTCCTAGCCTTTTTTCTCATTTTATCTCAGGTTCTCTTTTCATAGTAAACATCCAAGGAATAAATCTACTGTCCTTTTTGGAATGCTTCATTCAATAGCTCTATTTACACTTTAGTTCCCATCTTTCTGTGAATGTTCTAATCCTATCTAATTCCCCTTTTCCCATGATTCCTCTTTCTAAAGTCTCACAGTCCTATGAGACAAAGTATTGATATTTCTGTATACCCCACACGGGTTTGAACTCTATACACACTTGATGACCAAATGACTGAGAGGTGAGAAGCATTTTTTTTTTTAGGGAAATACAACCTCTTAGGCTGAATGGCACTGACAGTTCTCAGAATATTCTCTTGTTATTAGAGCAGAGGACGGGTAAGAGTTTTGTTCCTCTTGTTTCTGCACTTCTGCAAAGGGAGAATTATTCAGTAGAGTGAGGAATTTACTTGGAGACAAATTTAGATTTGAGTACAGATAGAGAAAACTGGCCAGAGAATCTTAGCTTTGCCTGTGATTCTTCACATCCTTTGGTTAGCCTAATGAATTTTATGAGACTAGAAGAATTTTATGGGGTGTGATTTGGGGGGAAGATAAGTGGAACCACAAATCACTTGATAAAGTTGTTGTGCCCTTTATTCGAAAGGCCCCCATATGGCGGGTTTATGAAAGCCTCAAGGATCATGTGCAACCTCACACATAATGTATTTCTTTCAGTAATGTGTGTTTACCTTAATAATACATGAGTTGATGTTTTTCTTTTTTGTGGTGCTGGATATCAAACTCAGAGCCTCATGTATGGTAGGTAAGCACTCTACCACTGAGCTATAACTCCAGTGCAATGTTATTTTTAAAGAGTAATTTTCCCTTTAGTAGCAAGGGATTCATTTTTTAAAAAAGCCCACAGAACAATTCATCTCTTCTGCCATTCCCAGTTAACAGACTGACAACCTAAGGCAGAAGAACTTCTACAGCATCTCACTACACTCCTGTCTTCAACAATAATTGAAGACTTTCTCATATTCTCACCAGACTCCTAGGTCAAACAGCTCTTTCGTTTTCTTCAGATTTATCAGCAGGATACACTTACGTCTTGTCAGCCCAAAAGTGATGAACATTTTACATT